CGCACGCTCTTCCTGGGGTTTCTTGTTGCCCCTTTGACTGGGGCTTGTTCACAGGTAGCTTACGCTCCCTGGAATTGTGTCATCTTTAATTAACTATGGCTCTAAGCAACACTTACAGTCATCATCTCCAGAGGTCCTTCTTTCCTGTAACTGGCTGACCGCGCTGTCTCTCCCGGAGCACGCCGTGCCCTGCCAGCCAGCCTGCACAGCATCCGGCATCTCCGGCCCACGGTGATGGATAGGAGGTATTTACCAGATATTAAAAAACAAGTGGGCCTGATTAAGTGATGTATAGCCTGATTAAGACATAGTAATCATCCCTCCTACCATGAAGATGTATGATCTTTAGGGCTTGCATGCAGTAACGAACACCAGAGGCAATCGCTCGCTATGTTAGCGGCGTGCAGAGGGCCAGGGCCAGGCGGTACGATGCCTGTACTGATGCCACCACTGAGCAAGTGACATCCAGGAGTAAGAGGCGACACAGGGCCAAGGGGGTCACAGGTCATAACATAAGGTTTAAAAAAAGCAAGTATCATCTAAATGAAGTGATATCCAAGCAGTGCTAGACAGCGAACAGGGAGCGCACCAGCAGCAGAAAAATAAGAGACCTGGGAAACGTCAGTGCCACCAGAGACAAGTGACTCCTGTCCAAATACCGTGGCTTAAATGAGGCAAATAATACTGCTCCATAAAATGTTCAGAAACGCCATAAAAGCCAAGTATACCGTTGTCTTCCCACAAACAGCACCGCAGAAGCAGGAAGCATCAATCCAGGAGCTGCTCTTGGTGGAAGCGGAGTGCTCCGGTACCCCGAGGAGCCCAGGCTACAGCCCCAGCGGGTCGGTAACAGCAGGCAGCCTCTGGGTGCTGCTGCTCTGTAAATCCTCCATGAGGACAGCCTCGTCCATCAACACACCTACAAGCACGTTTTTAAGCTTCAGCACATTGCAGCTGTGCATTACAAGACACGGGGGAAACATGCTGAAGCAGTTTCCGTAATAAATTAAGAAATCTCTTTAAAGGAGCTATGCTTTATACACAGATACACACACGGAGTGCTGCTCTTCACTCAAATACCGGGAGTTTTTATGAATGCCAGCTAAGCTTCAGGATTTCTACAGCGAAGCAGGGGAGTACTGGTATTCCTCTTGCTCACAGCAGCAAGCAAACCCACACACACCCCCACCACATTTTGGTAGCTGCATTTCAGACATCTCTGCTCTTTTTTAGGAGGCTTCTGTTAAGTCAGCCTCAGACTTGCTCACTGCCAAAATATTTGAACTCGGGTGCTAACGTTGCACACCTCTCCATTTTACGCTCAGCACTTCCCATTGAGGCAGGGAACAATGCCTGCCAATACGTATCAGTGTACCTCATTTATAAAATTATAATGGAAGTTACCAGCCGCATAACAACTATTATGATAAATAACAAGCTTGAAGAAAACCAACACAGACTCAGCGGCACAGGAATCCTACGCTGAACGCTGTTCACAAGGACTGTCAGTGCAATGCTGAACAGATCGGTATTTTTTTCTCCACTTAACTGGATTTTATATACAAGAGTAGTTGTTCCCGTAAGAAACAACCCTTGTTCCTATTTTTTTTTTGAGGTTCACAAAGCCTCAGACCTACATCTTTACCACTATACAGGTTTCCATGGTAACAGATGGTGGTGCCTTCTAAAAAAATACTATTATGTTCTAGAGAAAGTATCCCGAGTCGTTCCCTTAATATTGCTGAAAGCTGGAGCACGTGGGCCTGCACAGAGAGAATTAGAGACTCTGAAAAAGTACAATTAAACAAGGAAAGCAGAGCTGAGGGGCTTTCAGAAGGGTGGGTGATGAAGAAGAGCTCTGTTTGTAAGGGAATCGGGGAATCTGTTTTTAAGGAAACAGCCTCGCAAATGCCTTTGCGCTCTGTGACCTTTCGCAGCCGCTGCAGAAACAGGCCGTTTCACAACATCACCTTCTTAATAATAATTGTTAGAAAACAAATCAAGGCAGCCAGGAATGAAAAATAAAGTTGAATCGTAGTGCTAACAGTTCCCCAGAGGGAGCAAGAAGTGATTATTGAGTTAAATGGCTGCATTGTTAACAATTGCCACACACAGGAGCTTACTCAAAGATCCATTTTTCACTGCCAATTTACCAACAGCAAAAAATCCACGACCAAATGAACTCGTAGGAAATGAATTAATTCTCCTCAAAAAAAAATCATCTCCCCTCTTCCCCTGCCAACCTGTGCGTACCGCACTGACTGCCCCAGCCTGGCGAGGTGCAGCAGCCCGTGGGCGGCCAGCTGCACGCCCGGGCATCCCCGAGCTCTCCCACAGTGAAACAAGCAGTAGGAGAAGGAAAGAAAAATGAAATCAATGCTGACATCAGAAGAAAACCAAGCGTCCAAGCTGTCTGGTGCTCAGGTGAACAGTCCCAGCGTAAACCCACCGTCCTGCTTCCCCCCAACATCTTTCGCAGCTGGGAATGACTTGTGTCTGTTTCTCCACTCTCTGGCATGGAAAACACGGAGGAGACTGGAGCGAAGTGCCCAGCAACTGCAAGAATATTCCACATACTCCGTGAGAGAAATGCCACACACGTGCTGGCAGCAAACAGCATTTCCCCCAAGCCAAGTGCCTTTATTTCTGTGATCTTAAGGAATCAGCAATTACTAGAATGACCTGGTGCTACTTTTACTTATTCTAAGGAGCAGCTGAGGAATTACATCAGCACCTGACCCTAAAGCTAACAAGAAGTTCAGAATTAAAAGCATGCCTCTCATAAATACATACAGAGCCCGCGTGCGACTGAGAGCAATTGCTGGGGAAAAATTATAAATAGAGCACAAGCGACATTACATAAGGAAATAAATGTGAAGCAGCTCCCTCGGCATGAAACTAGATACTCCAAGCAAGAAGCCATCAGCAGGCTGCTGTAGGTTTGGAATATTTCTGGTTTCATCTGTCGTGGGCAAGACGAATAAGAAACTGCGCGAGCCAGGCAGGAATTTAATACGGGTTTGCCTCGACTCGTGGCTTTGCTACTTGTTAACCCAGCTGCCAGGTAAGAAAATAAATTTAGAGAACAGCCAACTTCTTGCACAATGCTTTTTTGGGATGTTCGACAAAAGGCTGCCGAACAAACGGATTAGGCTTTGGGAGAAAAAACAATCAGGAGAGTGGAAGCATCTGCACCCTAATCTTATGGAGACAGCACCACCCGATGGACGATGCGGGGACGCGCCCGTGGCTTCCCTGCTGGGGACCCGACAAACTTCGCCGAAATTTCGGAGACAAAGTGCATCTGAGCAGCTTTTTTTTTTTCTTTTAAAACCGCAAACTCTCGACTCTATGGACAGAGTAGGGGCTGCTACACTTCACGGCAGACTCACAGCCGAAGAGAAGTTTCATTTAGCTTCATTCACATGAGCAGCTCCTAAAGATTGAAATAAGCTGCCCCTGTTCTGAAAGGTAAAAAACGTGCACTGAAATAGGAGGCAGAAGGTGATGTTCACGATTAGGAAATCTCACGGTCACTATTGCTGCGGAACTGGCGATGGAGAACATTTTACAGCCTTCTGAAAACAGGGATTTGCCAGGTGTTTAATTTCACACGTGTTTAGCTCACATTGTATTAGTTTCCCTCAAATCATTTCTGCCCCTTAAAAAGTTTACCATTTTCACAGATCAGCCTTTTTCCCAAGCATCTGGCTAAGTGATTTATCAAAAGCCAAGGATCTAATCTGAACTGATATGGCAAGTGTCGGGAAGACAAAAACGCAGTTGGGAGAGGAAGAAGAATAGCTCCACGTATTGCTTACTCAGTGAAGAAGCTATTTAACTAGGTTAGACTCTCCAGCCTCCCTAATAAATCAGGGGACCCGTGCAGCTGCCCAGCAGCACACGCAGGGCTGTGGTTTCCCAACCCGTGCTGACCGATGCCAGCAGCGCCTCCGCTCAGCTGGGGGCTCCTGTGCCTGCTGGCCCCCCAGCACCAAACTTTTTCGGCCAGACCGCACTGGAGCTATTTGAAGGCATGCACAGAGCTGGTGTGTGCTCAGCACCTGCTGCCCTGCGCTCCAGCTCTGTTCCAAAGCAGCGAGATGAAGTCCCCGGGGCTCCCCGAGTCCTAACCGCGATCCAGCGCTGCTTGAGCCGAAGCGGGCTCCGGCGTGCTGCAGGCAGGGAAAGGAGCCTCGAGCACGGAGACTGCTCGCTACCAAGCAACATGGCACGGGCAGGGCTGATTTCCATCGCATATACAGGCAGAAAAGGTTTTTGACCAAAACTTAGAAAGCTAAATACAGCCAGTCGCGTCCTGCACCTCCAACTAGTTTCGAACAGAACGAAAAACCAGGGAGAGAAATCCGTGTTACGAGAACCGAGGGAAGCCCCAAACCAGGCGGATCGCTGCTTTTCCCCACGAAACGGCACGGGGGGAACAAACCTCGCCCCTGGCGCCTCCCAGCACCGCGAGGTGTGCCCGCAGGAGCCGGGGGGGCCCCGCTCCTCCAGCCCGGGGCCGGGCCGGGGCCAGCCCGAGCGGCTCCCGCAGAAAGTTGCCGGGGTGCGGGAGGCAGGGCAGGAGCCGTCGGGGAAGCGGGGGAGAGGCGAAGCCCGAGACCCGACGAGGAGGAGAGGAAGAGGAGGAGGAAGGCAGCGGCTGCTCCCGAGGCTGCACCCCCTTCGCCAGGCTCCCGTAAAAACGGACTGGAAGCGCTGGGGGGGGGGAACGGGCGTGGGGTGATGCTGCCCCCAGACAGCCAGACGGACACCCGGACACACAGCCACAACTTCCCGAGCTGCCGCCCCCCCGGACACCGCCGCGACCCCCGGGCAGCTCCCAGCACGGAGCTGGGGGGCTCGCCCCGAGGATGCCCAGGGCCAGCCCGAGCACCCTGCGGGCTGGGGGGGGGAATCAGGGCGAGCTCCCCCTACGGGAATTAGGGAAATGGGAGTGGAGGGGGGGGGGGGGAAGAAGAGGACCCCGGGCGCCTCACCTGCGAAGCCCTGTCCCTCCGCCTTGGGCAGGAGCTGCAGCAGGAGGAGGATGGCGGCGACGCCGGGCATCCTTCCGCGGGCTTCACCTGCCCCCCCCGGGGCCGCCGAGCCGCCGCCGCCCGCCCCGCATCCCCCGCACCGGCGGCCCCGGCAGCCGGAGCCGCGGCGCTGCTCGGAGGAGCCGCCGGAGTGGCGGCGGGAGGGAGGCGGGGAGCGGCCGGGAGGCGGGCAGGGGGCGGGGGGGTCGGGGACGGGCGGGGGGGGGCTCCCCCCCAGCCGCCGCAGAGCCGGCCCCGAGCGCTGGGGGCAGCGGGCAGGCACCCGGAGCCCCCCCCCGGCCCCTCCCCGCCGGGTTAAAAGCCTCCCTCCGCCGGGGGGTGCGGGCTTTTTCCTCCTTTTTTCCGATTTTTCTCCCTATTTTCCCTCTTTCTTCCTATTTTTTCCTTTCCCTTCCACATCCCTTATCCCTATTTTCCCCCCCTTTTTTTTTTTCCCCAGCTGCGTGCACAAACCCCTGCCCTGGGCAGCGGCCGAAGCACAGCCCCACAACACCGAGCTGTGGGGTCCCTGCCCCTGTCCCCAAATCTGAAGGGGTCCGGTGGGGACCGCATCCACCACGGCTGGGGGCAGAACCACCCCCGGCTAAAGCCGAGCCCCAAAAAGCTGCAGGTCGCAGGGGGGCCCTTGTCAGCAGCAGCTCACTCGGCATTCAGGGCTGAAAATAGTAATTTTCGTCATTATTCACTTTCAGGAGAGTTAACGGCTAAATCCCAAGTCACGCCATGTACCGCCGTGCTCGGAGGCTTTGTACACGGGCAGAGACACAATCTGGAGCAAAACGCTAAGAATTGCTTTCCACGGGCAACTTCTTCACCAAAAAAAACCTGCCTGGTAAGCACAAAAATCAGGACACATCAATAGCGATCAGCCACCTGAGCTCGGATTTGCACGGCGAGAGGAGAGCGATGGCCACCTCGCCCGGGATAAAGCTCCTCTTTAATCATCAGCACAACAGGAGATTATTTCCGACAGTAACTCAACTTCCCAAAGAAATTCCAGCGCTGCTAGGTAGGCTTTTTTCCCCCGACTGCTTGAGGTTTAATAGAACGCTGCTTCCTCATTAAATTTAATGCTGCTCCCGGGGCAGTTCCATCTCCCCTCTCCCCGTGCCTCCTCTGGCTCTTTCCTCCCCATCCTCTCCCCCTGCCACCCTGGGCAGCCTGCAGCAAGCATCCCACAACCAGCACCCCCAGCTCCCTGCTCACAGAGCTGTGTTGGGAGGGCAGGGAGCTGTGCCTGCCAGCAGGACCCAGCACACAGGCTCCTCGTGAGCTGGGAGAGCTCCTCTGAGCTCTTTGGGCTCTCTGCAGGAGCTGCCGATGCCCCACCTGCTCCCCAGGGGAGGGAAGCAGCAGCCACCAGCCACCAGCGCAGGTAACTTTGAGCCCAGAGCACAGCCAGGGCTGGCACCTGCATCCCACAATTTGTTTCTTGCCAAAGTGCAAGGCACTGCTTCCATTGGGGCAACCTTCCTTTCAGGGAGCCAGCAAGAAGAGCTACAGAGAGATGAATTCACAAAGATTTTCCTCTTCCAATGGGTGCACCTGTTCTGCAGTGAGCTGTTCGTTCACCCTCTCAGCAAGAAGGAAGAGAGGAGCTCCCCTGCGCACTGCTGTGGCCACGGAGCTGCCCTCACATTGCTGCGGGGTGAGGGCCTCTCACTCCTTGCTCACGGGCAGGCTCACTGCACCTACACACAGACCAAATGGGGCACAAGGAGCACAGGTACCAGTTATTTCACAGTAGCAAAGGAGTATAAAGACACAGAGCTACGTTTCCCTAGCATCAAGCACCCCACTGAGATAGGGGTTTGAAAGGTCCGAGCATCCTGCTCATAACCAAACCTGACCAGTCCAAAAAAGCCCTCCCTCACTGAAGTGCAGTCCTCTCTGTAGGTGTCAGCATCACTTCAGAAATTATGGTGTGCCGCTATCTTCTGCTGAGTAAACGGGACAATCCCACAAACAAGTATACAACTGCAGATCAAGGGAAAGCAGAGCACAGAGCAGAGGGACAAGGAGACAGAAAATTCCTCAAAGCTAAGTCATAGAAAGGATGCAGGCAGTCAAACAGGGGTGAGCAGGAACTGCAGAAGAGGCTCTGAAAGTGCTAAGAACAGAGGCATGAGCCATGGAGGTGATGTCAAGAGTTGAAGAAAACAGGATCAGTGGGCGACTTGCAGAAAGCAACCCTAAATCAAGTGATCCCCACTTGTCTCCACATAAATTCAAGGAACAGCACAAGTGAGCCTGCAATGTGTTCAGAACAGCTTCATGTACTGGTGTCCAAGGAGCTTAGGGAATAGAAAGAAAAGAAGCTTTTAACTTCTTCCAAGGAGGGGTGTAGAAGGTGTTAACCTCAGAAAAGTGTGCACCCCAGCAACATAAAGGCACTGGAAGATCGCATCCTCCCCTCTACAATTAGTAACCAGAAAGGTTAGAAATGAACAGCCTACAAGGGTCTGGAGAAAGGACTGTTTGGGAGGGACAGCCATGTCTTAAACATCAAAAAGTGCAAAGAAAGACTTTAGGCTGAGTTAAACCCCTTATAAAAGGCGTGTCTGAACACAAATCCACCTTCTTGGGAGAAAGAAAAACCAAGAACAAGAGAAGACGCAGGCTGATTGCAGACGAGTCAGGATTAACTGAAGTTACGCAGATATTAGCACAAAAGAGCCAAAGCCCGGTATGAATATTTCAGTTTGATTCCCGTTCATTACGATGCTGAGCCAGTACCAGCCTAATTGCAGAAGAGCAGACGCGGTGCCCATACTGAGCGAGGGGAAGGGATGCGGCCAGTACCGGAGCCACGCGCCTTCAGCAGCGTCCAAGGGCCTTGGCAGAAAGTGTTACGAAGGAATAAAGTTGAGCTCAACAAAATAGGTTAAAATACAAGGATTGAATGGAAATTAAGCAAACCAACACCCCACCCCCCAAATTAAACAGGCAATTTCGTAAGTACAGGTGTGATCAGGTCGCGTTTATCAAGATTTTACCAAAGCATCCAATGGAACAGCAGAGAGAGAAACCAGCTTTACCCCAGAAAAACACAGCAAGGAACTGCCCTGACAGAAAAGCAGCAAGACACAGGGCTGCGAGCAGCCTCAGGGTTGTATGGTTAACATTAGGGTTCCTCTAAGAGTCTCGTTAAGGTTTAATTTTTAGATTAACAACACTGGCTGTCTTCCAATACAGTGTACCAATGACAGTCAACAGCCATCAGTAACGCAAGAGGACTGTAATGGGCTTCGAGGCAGTGGCGGCGTCTTTGAGGGCTGGATGTATAGTAGAGGGATGAAATCCAGACATAAAATAAAAAAGTTGCATTACTGCAGATCAGCAACGAGAAAACATGCTGCAGACCAGGAATGCATCCCTTTAAGAGGCACACTAAGTAGTGCACAGCCCTGTTTGAAGCTTGGGGGTTCACTCTGCTACAACAGCAGTTCAACAAATGAAACAAACCAGGGACAAGCTGTGCTCCAAAACTGGCACGAGGCAACAACTAACATACATGATGATATACGTACATATACAAGCAGTGGCCTTTGCAGCTATCGCAAAGAAAAGCTTACAAAATGGTCTCCCTAAATCTTGCTGAGATAGTGTCCTATATGACATTACCTCGTAAAAATAGCAAAGAGGAGCTCTAATTCCATCCTGGGTGTATGTTAGCATCACTTATTTTGCTGTTACTAGCAATTGAAGCAAGGTCTCAAGAGGCTTAAAAAAGAAAACATTAACATAAGTTCTAAAGTTTTCTTGAGCCTGTCGCTTGGGGCTTCTTGACTCCACAAAACTGTTCCCTTACTGTGTCAGATAAGAAAATGTAATCCTTAGCTTTACTCACCTGCAAATGATACAGCTTGCCCCCGGAAAACAAAGTGCTGAACAACTGGAAGCCCTGCCACATTTTGACATTAAATGCATTTAACCCCCAAGAAAAAAAAAAAGTCAAAAAATCTTCTCATGGACTTGAATCAATATACGTTTTTGAAATATTTAACAGACAAATTAGCCTTTGAGTATCCTAGTGTGCTACCAGATTAAAAGCAGAAACGTGTCCCCTGCAGCATGCAGCATCCCTCCTGCCGCCAGCAGAAAGCCGGCTCAGGCAGTGGCCAGGCTGCTGCTGCCCCCCATAGACAACACAGCTCCTAAAATACGAGGAGTACTCTGCAACCTGTGCTGCTTTTAAGGATAGGAAAACATCTTTTTGCAGTTCTTCTTTGTACTTCTTGGTGATGTGCTAGACACACAAACATGCCTGCAACTGCAGTACCTGGGCACAGGCAGAGTCCCAGAGCCACCCGAGGAGCTTTGTTCCACACCCACATCACTTCCCCACCAGAGTACAAAAATCCTCCTCTGCCTCGATAAGGCAGATGCGATGTTTGGTACACAATCAGCCTAATCCAATTTGGAAAACTTCTTTTCCTCCCCTAGGGCAAATATTACACATACAAATTTACAAACACCCCCCCACGTGCAGCTCTCTGTACAGAACAACCTGTTACACCATCTCTTACCAGGCAGCCAGAATCACAGATGAGAGCAGCAGGTGAAGCTCCCCTAGAGCTCAAGGTGCAACTTGAAGTTTCCATTTCCTTCTATCACACCCCATAAATCTGGGTCTGCAGCATGCTCTGCTGAGTTTTGGCTGTCGGAGGTGCGTGGAAGGGCACTGAATGAAGGAAGCCAGGAGAACAGCACAAGGTGTGTCACTTCCAACATTAACCCCTCTGTCCTTCCAATTTAAATTTATTATTAAAAACTGTCTCCAGCATTGTCCCCAACCCTGTACTACACATGCACACGTGCCTATGCAGGCAGCCCACCCCACGTCACAGGGGAGCTAACAGCAGGCTAACCTCAGCTATTACTGGGGAGGAGACCCCTGCCAGCTGCCCGTACCCTTCAGGTGTTCACTTGGTGGGAAGGAAGAACAGACGATGCATCAGCACGTTTGTGGATAACTGTGTGCATAAATACAGACCCCAGCTGTCTTTTTTAATCTGGTTACATGATGAAATCATTAATCGATGTCAGACACATGGGCATTGATCTCTTATGCCTCATCCTCATTAAGTTTCTTCCTTTCTGAAGAGGAAAAAAAAAAAACTGAACTGCCCACCATCAATTATT